TTTTATTTTTTCTATTTTTCTTCTTGGTTCATGATAGGTTGAGCCTAATGTTCGATTATTGGTTTTTATTTTCCAATCTTTTTGATAAATTCATAAGTAATTGTTTATTTAGATATTCCTGGATCATTGGTTTAAAAACATACATGCAACTTTTTACCTTGACCCTTGTCTAGAACGCTTTTAATAACCTGTGATTATGGTAAATTTAATGTACACGTACGTTTAATTTCATATTTATTATTATAGAATAATCTACGTTACAACTTTGTCAACCAACTTTAAAATTAGTAATATTCTTATTTAAAACAATAATTTATATAAATTTGTGTATAGTAATATTTGTGCAAGTGATAATCAACATATTAGTAGTCAGTCACATTAACATCACTTTGGTTTGCTGCAGCATGCCTTTATAATAATAAACCAGAGAATTCAACCAATTAATGTTCATATGGTCTTTGGTCTGGTCTTTGTCTTTTTATTTTTAGTCTGACTACTGGGGAAATTTGAACTCACTTGCTTCATCCTTGAACAATAGTATCAATTATTCAATACAAACAAAACTAGCATAAATATTGTCTTAAAATGGTAACATTTAGACATTATTTTAATTTTATTTATCTAATACTTATGTAAAGGCTGATGAAATAATATATGTCAGTTTCTCTATCAGTATATATACTGTATAATTATAATCAATCAATATACACTCATGTGGACATCCTGAAATTACTCATTTAACACGATAATTAATTAAAAATGATGTTAAAAAGGAGAAATGTTAAAGTAAAAGCTGGACCAAGCTGAGGACCTCATCAATAAAATTAACACTATGCAGTGTACTAAAAATACAATAAAAAACAAACTCACAAAAAACTGTTGACAACTATAATTTAATATCAATACTATGCAGTGTACTAAAAATACAATAAAAAACAAACTCACAAAAAACTGTTGACAACTATAATTTAATATCAATATAAATATCAAATTTATGTCAAAATAATTTTTTAGTCTTTCCTATTCCTATGCGACCACCCTTTTTTATTTTTCTTATCATTTAAATTTTTAAGATAATTTTGTGCATCCACATTTCCTTGTTCAGCTGCCATTTGACATAACTTCATTGCTTTTTGGAGATCCTTTTTTATCCCAATTCCAGTCTTATAGCATTGACTAAGATTATATTTTGCAGCAGCATGGCCTTGTTTAGCTGCTTTTTTATACAAGTTAAATGCTACCCCAGCATCTTTTTTCACACCTATTCCATTTTGATAGCAATATCCAAGATGAGTCTGTGCAGCTGCATATTCTTGTTCAGATGCTTTTCCATATAATTCAATTGCACTCTCAATATCTGTTTCCACTCTACAGTTTCCCTTTTCATAACACATGCCAAGATAATATTGTGCAGCTGCATGTCCCTGCTCAACTGCCTTTTGATATAATTCAACTGCCTTCTTAGCATCCTTTTCTACTCCAATCCCATTTTCATAGCAATACCCAAGCTTACTCTGTGCAGCAGCATAGCCTTGTTCAGCTGCTTTTTGATAGAATTCAGCTGCCTTTTTAACATCTGTTTCTACTCCAATTCCATTTTCATAACAATCACCAAGATTATACTGTGCAATGTTGTATCCTTGTTCAGCTGCTTTTTGATATAATTCGACTGCCTTCTTGGCATCTTTCCCTACTCCAATTCCAAGTTGATAATATTGACCAAGGTTATTCTGTGCAACATCATGACCTTGCTCAGCTGCCTTTTGATGTAATTCAATTGCTTTTTCAGTATCTTTCTTTGTTCCAATTCCTTGTTGATAACAATAACCAAGACAAGTCTGTGCTTTAGCATAACCTTGTTCAGCTGCTTTTTCATATAATTGAAATGCTTTCTCAGCATCATGTTCAACCACAATCCCATGATGATAGTAGTAACCAAGATTAGTTTGTGCAGTAGCATGCCCTTGTTCAGCTGCTTTTGTATAGAATTCAATTGCCTTCTGAGAATCCTTCTCCACTCCAATTCCATGCTGGTAGGCTTGACCAAGATTACATTGTGCAACAGCATACCCTTGTTCAGCTGCTTGTCCATATAATTTAACTGCCTTTTTAAAATCTTTTTCCACTCCAATTCCATTTTCATAGCAAGCACCAAGATTATTCTGTGCAATAGCATATCCTTGTTCAGCTACTTTTTGATATAATTCAACTGCTTTCTTAACATCCAGTTCTATTCCAATCCCATGTTCAAAACAGTAACCAAGATTATTCTGTGCAACAGCATAGCCTTGTTCAGATGCTTTTTCATATAGTTCAACTGCCTTCTCAGTATCTTTTTCTACCCCAATTCCATTTTGATAGCAATCACCAAGACTATTCTGTGCAGCAGCATAGCCCTGATCAACCGCCTTTTTATATAATTCAGTTGCTTTCTTAGCATCTTTTTCCACTTCAATTCCCTTTTCATAGCAAACACCAAGAGTATACTGTGCAGCAGCATATCCTTGTTCTGCTGCTTTCTCATACAAGTCAACTGCTTTTTTAACATTTGCTTTTACTCCAATTCCATTTTCATAACAAGTGCCAAGATTATATTGTGCAGTAGCATATCCTTGCTCAACTGCCTTTTGATATAATTTAATTGCTTTCTTAGCATCTTTCTTTACCCCAATACCATGTTGATAAGCTTGGCCAAGACTATTATGTGCAACAGCATGTCCTTGTTCAGCTGCTTCTTCATATAATTCAACTGCTCTCTTAACATCTTTTTTCACTCCAATTCCATGTTGATAACAATATCCGAGACTGTATTGTGCAGCAGCATACTCTTGTTCAGCAGCTTTGTGAAATAATTCAGCAGCCTTTTCAGCATTTTTCTCTACTCCAATTCCATTTTTATAGTAATCACCGAGATTGTGCTGTGAATTAGCATTATTTTTTGCTACAGACAATTTATACCAGTAGATTGATTGATTAAGATTCTTTCCAACTGTTATTTCATATTCATAGAAAATGCCAAGTAACCAAAAACACTGCCCACAATCAACATGATCTCTGAGTCTTTTAATGGGAGGATAATGTTGTTGATGCCACCCATTAAGCACTAACCAATCATTAATTGAGTCAGCAATCTGTGTTTTGCTTCTCCCTTTAAATAATTCTTTCTGATACACACTTGACAACCCATCAGTAAATGGATGTCCTGCGGTTGTTATTCGTTGCACCATAGTATTTAGTCGATTAAAAACTTGCTCAGAATCGGGTCTTCTCTCTGGATCATCATCCCAACATTCTGAGTATAGGATGATATATCCTTCAGGGGTTCCTGAAATTGGATCATCTCTACAACCATTCAATCTATAATTTACAATGTCAGGATAAAGTTGGAGCCCATCACATGGTCGCTTTCCACCAGAGATTTCCCACAAGACGACTCCAAAACTGAATATATCTGACTTTTTATCACGCCGGGTAGACGTATCATATAAGCATCTGGGGTCAAGATATGGAAGGGTTCCTTGCACATTGGTATGAGTTTTTAGATGCAAGGTCAAGTCTGACAATCCAAAATCTGTTATTTTCGCCACACCGTCATGAATCAATACATTCTGAGAAGACTGATAATTCATTGTTAAGTGAATATAAATATTGTGAGCAATATAATATTATAGAATTCTTATACTATTACATAACATTAATAGTTACCAGATCTTTATGTACGATATCGAGCGTGTGAAGATACAGTAGCCCGTCAATGATATTAGTGGCAAGCTTGTATCTTGCAGGCCAATCCAATACATTAGATGGGTCCGATAAATAGGTACGTAACGTTCCGCCATCAGCGTATTCAAAAACCATGACGTATCTTTTCTGCGAATCTTTTATAAACAACAAACAACTTTTTTTAATAACATACAATTCATATAGTTTGCCGTAAACATGAGTCGCTCAATGCTTACCCTCGCTCACACCAAGGAATCGAATTATGTTAAAGTGGTCATCGACCTTGCGATGGATTTTGAGCTAAAAGATGTTGTGTAATTCAAATGAACAAGAATATCCAAGTATGAAAAAACGCCGTTATTATAAAGACGAACCTCTTTGACCAAATTTTTAAACATCTCATCTCCATTCTGTGAATGCAAGATCTTGTATGCCACCATTCTACCAAGTGTCTTCATTTTTGCTTTGAAAACTACTCCATATCCTCCTTCGCCGATGCATGTCGAGTCAATAAAGTCCTTGAAAGCGCAAAACCGAATATTTCCATCTTTAATATTTTTCCTTAACCATTCTCTATCAGAGTGACTTGAGGCCATGCTTGTCAATTGATAATCGCATTCACTCTGCAAAGTATTTTATATAGTAATAGAATATTGTGACACTTGTCACACCAAAACCCAAGTGTGGGGAATTATTAAAAGATAGCACAACGACAATAACATCGTTATGAGACTTAATAGGTAAAAAAGGAAAAGTATAAGAAAATGAAACAGTATAATGAACTGTCATCTGCATTGATATTAACGGATTTGACAGAATAAGCCTATCTGATTACATATTTGACTGCTAGATGAGGAACTTTAAGAAATTGCAAGTTTTTTTCTTTTCTTTTCTTTTTTTATATTATTGATGAGTTAATTTCTTAGCTAATTGACATTGTCCGATAGTAATAGGCTTTTTATAATTAATATCGCTTTTCTGTTTTAGAAATATAAACCTTGTTTAAGGTGTCTTTGCAACAATACCACGAAACACAGAAAGCTAGATCTGTAGGTCTCGCTTGGGGCAGACGTGTATGAACGAATTTATTTCATACTTTATTAAACTATTGGTTGCGTACAAGCTGTTACGCAGAATCATATAATAATTAATTATTTACAATGATCGAGGCACCTAATCTCTATAAAGTCAAAAAGTCTGTTGCTATCAACTATTAATTAACATTACTCTCCCATAGTGATAAAACTTACTTTAGAACGATGTGTTACAGAAGCAAATTAATCCGGCGGAACAAAATCCTTTTCACGTTCTGCTTTACGCTTAAGCGTAGTCTCTAGTTGCTTCTCCTACGAAAAACGGGACACACGCATTAACGAATTGATATCATTTTATTATTTTCACCGATTATCAAACGCTAAACTTACCTTTTTCAATAGCATGGCCTTGGCAACCTTCTCACGCGGCTTTAAGAAATATTCACCAGATTCCAACTGCAAATCAATCTTACGAGGCTGCTGAGGAGGTGGAAACGGCGTGTAATCCTTCTTTTTCTTCTCTTCTCCCTTTTTACTCGCCTTCCTCTGAACATTTTTCTTCTTAAAATGAGGTAAAAAGCGATCCCACGATTCGTTTTTTAAATTTGGATCTTTTGCAAGTTCTCGCTTAATCATCAGTTCTTTTATGTGGTAAATAGGGTGTATGTTTTTCATGCAATCAATTATTATGCGACGAACTTCTTTTAGACCTTTGTAAGGACCCATAGCAGAGACTGTGTTTCCTTGAACCATTATGTAGCATTTAGTTAAAAGTTCGAGCGCCTGGCGAGGTTCGAGGGAGGTGAATACAAATGCATTAGTTGGTTTCGTCAGGCTTCTGTATTGATATACAACCCACTCCTTATTCTACCTTTAATGTTGATCCATTCGGCCCGATGAGTCTCTGACAAAACGTTCTTTGTTCCTGACAATAGTCCCAATTTTAATGATGTCACATGCAACGTCATCCTCTAGAACCTTGACGGCCTGATCGCAATAGAAGGCACATAATAAATGATAAATTTGGTTCAAAAGCATACATAAATACACAGTTTCCCGGAAAACCGACCGTACCTGAGGAAAGGGAACACTTCACGCAAGGAGTTTGATCAAATCGCGGGACTTCAATATAATGTAAGGATCATATGTTTTCCTCGTTGTTTTCACGGTCATACTGCCTTCAACCAAGTCCAAAACACATGCAACACCCTATTCCGAATGTTGATTTGACGATTAGAATTAAAGTCGTAATAGCGTATATGCTGGATTACATAACAAGCACACGCATAAAACGGTACAATACCACTTTTTCTAACGCTACCGTTACATGAGGCCAAACTTACCTTAAATATGCTTCACGATATTTGGGAAATAGTGTCGCAAACGAAGATTCTTCAGTAAAGGGACCAGGATTGTCTTCCGACGAAACTGCTCGATTTTCCAGTGATCGATATCGTCATTGTCCCATGCTGGAAATCGGTTGAACCAAATGCTAAGGTCAATGGAAAGTGTCGAGAGTGTAAAAAAAAAAAGAATATTACATACGCAGAATTTCGGGAGTGTGATCTATTACTACTCACGTTTGTCTTTTCTGTACTTGCGCTTCTTTGATTGGGGTTCGGAACTGCCAGCGGCGGCGGCTCGACTTCCTGATCAAACAAAAAAAGTAAGCACGTATGTCTGAGCATTTATAACGGATCGTTAAATCGACTGACCTTCCGCCACGTGTTCAGTTGAATTACTGTCAGGAAACTTTTAGTCTGTATTCAAGGCAAAAGTTTCGTTTTTGATACACCAGGAGTTCCGTTTTTGATAGATCTGCAAGCACCCCAAATTTTGGTTTCGTTT